GCTCTCCGAGCTGCCCGCGCTGCCGCCGGGGCACGCCGGCCTGCAGTGGCTCAGGGTGGGCAACCTCCCCCGCGCCACGACACAGTCGCTGCTGCGGGCCCACGGGCGCACCCTGGAGAAGCTGCTGCTGTGGGTGGGTACGGGGAGGAATGAAGGTTGGCCAGGCAGCTGCGGTAACCTGCACATTCTGCTGCAGCAGAGCTGGCTGAGCGCCCTCAGGTGTCTCGTGCTGCGGAGGCCGGGTAGGAGCCACGAGCCAGCCGCCTGCAGGGAGCAGCGCGCCAAGGTGCGGCAAGTGCTGCCCGGGTCCGAGGTGTTGTGCGACACGTGTGACGGTGTGAGGCTGGAAGAGGTGTAGGGGCGGCGAGAAGCGGGGCTACAGGGCCACCGGGGTGTGTTGGAGTTCAAGGCGCAGACAACATCCCTCGTGATCTGTAAGCACGGCGGGACAAGGCACTGCGAGCGCACTGACGTTACCTGGTGGCCGGACACAGGCGCAGCCCACTCCTCGCGTGTGTTTAGTGGTGACTTGTCGCGTCGGTTGGCAAAACTCCTGCCGACCGGACCGCGCCTCGCGCTTGGCGGACCACACTGCAGTCCGCCAACCCTTAAATCACTCATTCGTGTACTGCATTATTCAATGAAGACATATAATTTAACATGTTTGGTTACGGATTGAAAATAAATCAGGATGAAACTCAACGTTATTATTTTTATACCAACTGTAACATATGTTCATCTTTGTATCGAGGCGTGACAAAGCCATATGTATCGCCCTGTCAACTAGTGCAGGGTGACGAATCACCCGTTCAGTCGCCCCGGCGCGACCAGGGGGCCATGGTAGACGGGGAAGTCGTGCACCCAGATAAATGATTTCTTGTTTCAAGTGCATTTTGTACTGAGAGTGACACAAGATTAATTTTTTCTTGGTGCAAGATGAAATTACTTTATGAAGAAGAAAATGTTCTTACTCCAAAGGAAAAATCGTCTTGTGTCGAGGACAAATTAATCTTGTGTCACTTTTAGTACAAAATGTACTCGAAACAAGAAATCTTTTTTCTGGGTGTGGAGGGCAGCGTGTAGCTGGTGGTGCCGCTATCCAGAAACGGCATTCTCCCGCCTCAATTCTCCGGCCGGGGAGAGGGAGACAGAGCGCCCGGTTACTGCTGATAGCCAGCCGTGGCGAAGAACCTACTGGTGGCCGGCGGCGTCCGCCTGGGAGGTGGGCCGTCCCGTGGAGCATCACTGTCGAGCGGGACGGCCCCTGCCAGACTGGGGGGCGTGAAGGTCGTCGCGTTGCGTTGAACTCAGGTTTGGGGGGAGGGAGTGACACCTACGAGAGTCTCTCGTACATCGATGTGTTCTTCCGAGCCCGAGGCCTACTGCCGGTCGCACCACCACCAGGGCGTTGGGCAGCGCGGTCCACCGCGGCGCCCAGGCTCTCGGCCTCATCCAGCGTCTCCGGCAGCGGCCGGCCCGTGGTCTCGGGGAACAGCAGCGCGAGCAGCCCGCTGGACAGCGACACGACGCCGAACAGCGTCAGCGGCAGCGACTCGCTCACGGTCGCCTGCGGCACGGGGGACTTACTTGTGGGCGCCGCCAACTCGTCAAGGGGCGTGGGAGGATTCCACTTACCAGCAGGGGCGTCTGCGGGGCCAGCACCAGGCCGACGGTGCCGAAGGACGAGCAGATGTTTAACATGGAGGAGCGGATGTTGGTGGGGAACATTTCAGCGGAGATGACGTATATCACGTTGAACGAGATGGTGACGGCGAACCTGCCCAGCATGTACAGCGCCACCGACAGCACCGGCTGGTCTGCAGCGGGGAAGGCAGCGGTCAACATCAGCATCTAGTACGGCGTCCTTAGTCCTTACCCGTCAGGCGCGGTTTTATGGGGGGGGGGCGTAGGTTCGATCCCCCCCGTCGCCCCCTAGAGTAGGTAGGCAATTTGTCCTACAAAACCCCTGAAAGTAGGCGACCCCACAGCAAATCGCCCCCTCCGTCAGACGGACTTAAAACCGCGCCTGTGTCGCAGTGGCGAGGGGCTCGTCTCACCGGCCGGGACGCCCAGGACGGCGAGGCAGCAGACTCCGGACACCACCAGAGCGCCGGCCACGGGCCAGCGGCGGCCGGCGTAGTCCTGCAGCCACAGGACGAGCAGGTTGGCGGGGACCTCCAGCAGGCCGGACAGGATGAAGTTGACGTACTGGTCGCCGGAGAGCGTCACGGTGTTCAGCAGCAGTCCGAAGTACACGAAGCAGTTGGCCATCCTGTAACCGGACCAGCGCCGTGTGTGGGACTCGGCCTCTCGCCATCACTTCCGCTGACTCACCAGCAGTAGCAGCAGTTGGCGAACCGCAGCGACAGCGTCCTGGACCCGAAGAGTCTGATAAGCGTGTCCAGCGCGCTGGCCATCTCGACCGACTCGCCGTCCTGCACAAGGCACCCGCGAGCTCTGTAACATGTGTTGTCTCTACCACGTAGAATGCCAAAGTATGTAGGTGGGAATTGACACTTGACAGTGCCCGCAGATCTCACACTCACCTTGCCGGCCGTGCTGCGGAGTGGCTCCCTGACGGCCACCTTGTTGATGGCGGCCACCTTGGCGACGATGGCGTTGGCCTCGTCCAGGCGTCCGCGGGCCGCGAGCCAGCGGACGGACTCGGGGACGAACCTGCGCGGCGGGAAAAGGGACTCTCCTTTCAGAGCGCAGTGAGTGCCGCCGCCGTCTGCAAACGTACCTCGGGCCCTGCCAGGCGCACGCGACCAGGTTGGAGGGAGTTGGAACTCACCAGAGCGGGATGGCGAAGACGAGGCCGCCGGCGTGCACGGCGCGGAGCAGCCAGCGCCAGTCCCGCACCGCCCAGGCCAGCGCGCCCATGAGGGCGTTGCCGCCCGAGTAGAACACGCTGACCAGGGTGCTGATGAGCACCCGCTGCTGCGGCCCGACGAACTCCACGGCTGCCCGGGAAGAAGCGCGGGTGGTTTTATCCGGCAGCGGAGAATAAACGTTCCTCAGTGAGAAGCCGTCGACGTACACGTCAATTAGACGTCGTTTTGACCTTCGATACGTCTAATCGACGTCAACGTTTTCCCTTTACCTAGGAGGAAAGCCGCGGCCGACACGCTGCCATCGCCAATCGAGCCCAGGAACTGGAACAACAGGTACGTGATGAAGTCAGCCGAGAAGGACTTGGCGATGCCGCATAGGGACGCCAGGACGTACGTTGAGGCCAGCAGTCTCTTCCGGCCGAATCTAGAATGTAAAACAGCCACATCGATTGTGCCGTGTTCGTTTACGATATCTCACACCTTTAAAGCCCAATCTTAACATACATATCTTTAGAACAACAAGAAATTACTCCCAGGAACATTGAATGCTCGCACTTATATTATTGATAAATGTGAACTTTGTTCGAATGCATGCGCACGTGATTCAAGAATTTGGCCTTATTCATGTAGATGGTCTGGGCGACTTGTGAAATGTTTTCAAGTTCTTCTGTCGGCCTCCTACCTGTCCGACAAGAGCCCCACCAGGGGCTTGAAGACGAACCCACCAATATAGCCGATGGAGCCCACCAGGGCGAGCTTCCACTTGTTGTCGTCGCACGTCAAGTCCCACTGCCAACAAGTAAGTTTAAATCGTCACGGAGCAGCCACAGAAGGCCGTGAAGCCTGACACAGCGCCGTCGTCTACGACGTCACCACGACGTCGGCGTGCCCCTCACGAAGCTGCGCACCTCGTCCAGGATGGTGCTGCGCTGTCCCGGCTCGTAGACCCAGGCGCCGCATCGCTCGGTGCGGGTCGTGTCGAAGAGGTCCGCGCTGCAGGTACTGTTGCCGCCGCTGCTGCTGTTGTTGTACACGAAGCGGACGCACGCCTCGGGGGTGTCGTTGTGGACGGGGACGGCCTCGGGGAGCCACGGGGGCGCGTAGGAGGCGGTGTCCGCCGTCTCGCACTCGGGGACCAGGCACCTGCATCACGACCCTCCATGATCACGACCTTCGTCAAACAGGCCTACGGGTCCCTCTGTCAACGTTTATCTTTCACTGCTGAATTCAGTGTAATATCAGGGCGAGACTCTACTCACATTTGAAACACGCCCTTCCATGATGTTAGTTTGGTAACTAAATTCTACCAGTCTACCGAGACCTTTCGCCTGCTACCCACCTGTAGTTGAGCTCTTGAGCAGTGAACACGAAGGTTATCGTGTAGATGGCCGTGAACAGGACGGGCATGTTGATGAACAGGCAGTTGGCGACCTGGAACGGGCCCAGCCTGCCGACCTGCAGCAGCAGCCTGTCCACGGCCTCGGGGTCGACCCTCACGAGCCCGTCGGAGGCGGACATGGTGAGGCGGGCGAGGCGGCGGGAGTCGCGTGGTCCGCGGCGGGTGCGGCGCGACTGGGGCAGAGGCTCCAGAGGCTCCAGCAGTTAGCGGCTCCGTTCCAGCACGTGGCGCAGCGCGTGGCCGGTTACCTCACGCAGCAACTCGCTTTCTTGCCGCGTCCCAATCGGTCGTCCTGATGATCCAGTGCGACCCCCTCCCCCCTCTGACTCCGGGACACTCGGCCTGTGGCGGCTAGGAGAGGAAGGGCAGGGGCGGAGTAAGGAGGGAGGGAGGAGGCTACATTCAGGGAGGGGGTTTTGTAGCTCAAGTTGGCGGCTATCTGAGGCCGACAGAGGGGTGTCTCAGTAGAAGTGAACCGCCTGTACAATATCGGGCGACATCCAGAGGTGAAATAACTGATGTGTGCGCCCTGGCTGAAGGCAAATGCCGCAACGTCGGCGCCGGGCGGGTAGGCCGGCCCGAGCAGCAGTGCTGTCGAGTGGGCCCGCCCGGCGCCTGCCGCCTGGCCCCCACCGGCGCGGCTCCTGGACATCGAAATGCGGCGAACTGTGGGAGGCAACCTGGTTAGAGGCGTGGACAGCGTTCTGTCAGAATCGAATAGGATGATATCTCCTTTGCGCCGGGCAGGTAGGCCGACCCGAGCAGCAGCGCTGTCGAGTGGGCGTCCCGGTTATTCCTGGGTATTCCAGGGTAATTCAGGAGCGGCGAGCAGGGGGAGGGTGCGTGGTGCCGCCCGAGGAGCTGTGCAGCGCGTGTGGTGTCCTGCAGGGCATTGCAGGGGCGGCAAGCAGCGGGAGCGCGCGCACCGCCCTGGCAACAGTTCCCGGACATCTAACGAACCCCTTACCAGACGCGGGGGCTGAGCGTCACATCACGAGGGGGGCACACGAGTTTTACTTCTGAATAGTGCTGCTAGCAGTCGTACTGCACTGGAAGCACCGCCTCTGTGTTGGTCGGAACAGGGAGCGACATAAAGTAAATTAGGGGTCGTCCACATTTGTACACCATGCCATTACAGACACTTTCTGACC